CCGTGCATCCTACGCAAAAATGGACCACAGATTCGTGATCAGAGCATGCCATAACCTTTTTTTTAGGATCGTGAGTCTCGACGAACGTTGTACCACTTCTGAATCAGTGAGCCAGAACTGGTACTAACTAACTACTCTTTGTTCTGTGTGTTTGTGGTGACAGTATTAGTGCTCACATTGTGGTGCGCGGGGCGCGTTGCCCCGGGTGACAGCGGTACGTCTCACCAGTGAGATGTATCGGACGCGTGTTGTGGTGTTAAGAGTGTTTGTGCATAACTCTCCTTCCTGGCTTCCGGGTTATCGGCTAACCGTAAGTAAAGTGAAACACCCACTGCCTCAGAGGCAGTCATCTTAGTTACAATCTTTAATTTAATTTTTGTGTTGCTTGTTGCATTAGGCAACAAGCTAGGTCTACAACCAAGCGTACCAACGCGCTAGGTGTATAGGTGGTTAACCAGGCACACATCTCCCCCGCCATAAAACGGGGGAGCTTGTTACACACCCGTGCTAATTCTAATAGCGTTGACATAATGGCGTCGTTTCCAAGCGACGATCTGACTTGGACTTCTTGCGTAAAGCATTCCCCGACATATGAACGCCATATCTCAAGTAACGCAAGGACACGCCGATCCTTTCGCACGAAGATGAAGAGTTCACTCTCGTTCAGGGCAAAAAGCGCAAGCGCGCTTCTCAACTCAACTCGACCCCCCCCCGTCCACCCCCCCGCCACTCCGGCCAAAAAGCCAGGCCACGCGGTGCGTGCTCAACTCCCCAAGCCCGCGGCTAAGCTCGCAGCGAATGGGTCCCCTGCTGAACGTAGGGAAAAGCCGCCGCCTCCCATCATCATTCACGACAAGACAAAGTTTAACAACCTGTCGAACTGGTTGAATACTAAAAAAATATACTGCCCAAAGGTGCAAAACGCCGGACAGGGCATACGCACGTTCGTTAACTCGACCGAGGAATTCCGCAGCGTGACTGGTCACCTGCGCGCCCAAGATATTTCTTTCCACACATACGCCCTACCAGAGGAGCGTAGTTTTCGTGTTTATGGTTATTGGAGGATTCCCTAAGGAACTCGACACCGCACACATCTTTGACGACCTTAAGGCGCAAAACTACCCGGTCCGTGAAGTGCACAAAATGCACCACCAGACTGACAAAAATCGTTTTCTTGATCTCTGCCTTGTCATTCTGGACTTATCTCTGGAAGGCAAGGAGATTTTCAATATGCGGCGTATCTGCAACCTTACCGGGATTGCTATAGAAGCCCCCAGTAATAGAGGCATCGTTGGCCAATGCCACCGAAGCCAACTGTACGGCCATTCGACCAGAAATAGTTACGCCAGGCCTAGGAGCGTCAAGTGCCTAGGTAACCCCGGCAATACCGACTGCACCCGCACGCCCGAGGCGACAGAGCCTCCAAGCTGCGTTAATTGCCGCGAAGAGGGACACCCAGCGAACTATATCGGGTGCTCCAAAACGCCATGACGCAAACAGCGCGGAGGCTAAAGCCGTCCCAGACGTGCGGATCAGCTGCCTGCCCCCAAACCCGCACCATCTTCGGTGCCCCTCCCTGCGCCACAAATCCCCGCCAAGCCCACCCCCCGTTGCTGGGGTCTCAGCGCAAAGTGGTATCACTCCGGCGCCTTCCACGCCGAAACCTAACGCGTGGGTAAAGCTTCTGGCAATTGTTGCCTCACGGCCAATGCCGCCTCCTTAGGCCCCCAAACTCAAGCCTGTCCCGCTAGGCTCATCTTCTTTCGCCGCTGACTTCTCTCTAGTTTGCGGCTTTATCAGTAACATAAACGTCGCTGAAATATCTTCCTTGGCCCGCAAACTTCGAAAACTCATAGGACTGTAGGCTATTCTCCTACATTTATAACATAATATGTTTATTTATAATATCCTACTATTATATTTACTTATTAATATTGAAAAGTATTTATTATACGTCTTTAATATTTATGTAATATGTTATATATATGTATTTAAAATTCAGTTCATGTTTAACTCACATAGCAACAGCCAGCGCGCCGTCGTTACGTATATCGCAAATGGAAACATACATACCGAGACCGGATCCTTTGTTTTAACGCCTCGTTCAACTCATGCGCATGATCCGAGTGCTACGGACCTCCCGCCAGTCGGAACCTGCTCCTGACGTGAAGTGTATGTCGCTCGGTACTAAAATTGATCGTTTACGTACTGTTAGAAATTGTGTATTTTACTACTGTTTTAACCGTTAACTTTGCTTTAAACCTTCTCCGCCTATTTTCTCTACTGTTTGCTTCCTGTCTGTGCTGTATGAACTATTCTAAAATATCTGTGCTTGTGCTATTATCCTTCTGAACTTATAAGTGTTGCGTGTAATATTGAATATATATAGACTGTGCAAAAGCTTTATTTCATTTCGCCCACGCAACCTACAGAACTAATCGACGCAATCTGGTCTTTCCAGTGCGCCTAATAAACAATACTTAAAATCATAATGGCAGTACAACCGTTGGGTAGACTTAAACCACGCGCTCTGACTGTTGCGTTTTTCAACGCAAACGGGCTCAGAGATCAAAAGACGAGATCGCGCTCTTCCTGCGCAATAACGACGTAGACGTTATGCTAGAGCAAGAGACCCACTCGAATCCTAGCCACCGCGATCCCAAGATCGCAAACTACACCCTGGTTAGAAATGTAAGGTTGACAGGCCCAAAGGTCGGCAACTTGATCTACTACCAAGGGGGCCTTGCACTGCGTACCGATTGACGCGCCCCCGTTAACTGACATAGAAGTCTCTGTCTGTAGAGTAGCTCTGTCTCTCTAGTTACAGACCCATTAGTTTCCTCAGCACAATGGGGAAAGCTTACGAACGTTTAATATTAAAACTCCTCCGTAAACACGCCCTTACAAACAAGCTTCTTCTTGACGAAGCGCTCGATTTCAGATCCAAGCATTCGTGCACCAATCAGATCCACCGCCTTACGTAATACATCTTAGAAGGCTTCCCCCAATCGACGGGTTACGGCCGTCAAATCCGCAACACCGGCACCCTCTCTTCTTCGACGTCGCCAAAGCGTTTGACAAAGTCTGGCACGAAGGCTTGCTCTACAAGCCGTTTAAACTTAACGCGCCAGATAGGCTCACTCACATCAACAGAGCCTTCCTTGCCAACCGCCATTTCCGATTTCGTATACAGGATACTCGCTCCTCCAAGTACCGGGTTCCAAGTACAGGGATGGAGTCCCTCAGGGCTTCGTACTCTCCACGCTCCTCTTCACACTCTACACGAGTGATATCCCGAAGGACCCATATGTCAACACCACTCTCTTCGCAGACGACACGGCACTCTACGTCACTCATTTCGGTAAGAAATATCTCACAACGATGCTCCAAATAGCCGCCAATTGCCTAGGCGAATGGTTTCGCTTATGGAGAATTGAAGTGGACTCTGAAAAAAGGTATACCAATATACTTTCAAGAGAAAACCACCCCCAATGTTCAGAACCTAAAACCGAAAAATTTCCTAGGCACGATAACCCCATTTCGGCCGCCAGATCCCATGGCAACAAACCGCCAAATACTTAGGGGTCACATTCGATCACTCTATGACCTCCTCAAAGCACATTCGCGCCGTACGAAATCGTGCCAAATTCGTCACAAGCCGACTCCACTCGCTAGTTAACAGTAAGAGCAAACTGTCCTTAAGACACAAGCTCCACCTCTACAAAGCTTCAAGACCTATCATGTCTAACGCAAGCGTAGCCTTTGCACACGTAGCTCATTTACGTTTGAACGACCTACAAGTCGTCTAAAACAGAATCATACGTATCGCCACCGGAGATCGGTGGTACCAGCGTAACTCTGATTTATACAGAGATTGTCAACTTCCAACGATCTCTGAATATTTCAAGGAAATGTCTCGGCGCTACTTCGAGAACACTGAGACACATCCCAACCCGCTAGTGGTAAAGGCAGCAACCTACGCTGCGACTCAAAACGTTAAGCAAAGCATCTGGAGCCCCGCAACGTTTTAATTGAACTGCCAGTTCCGCTAGATTATAGCGGAACTGGGTTCCGATAGGTTCCGACGATACAAATGTCGCCGGCCCATCACACACAGACACTACACACTCACCTGGTGCCACAAACACCGATAGGACAACATACGGGACACAGGGAGTCCGCAGACGGGCGCGCCGCACACCCCTCCACACCGCGTACACACCGTACACCCGCGTCCCTGGGCGGTTCTCACCGCCCAGAACATCGAACGACACCTTCGTTGCCGTCAGAATCGGGGCCCGCCACCCCCCTGTTCGGACGGCCGTTAGATAGATAACTCATCCACGTGCACTGTACACTGTCCTAGGAGTCATCGTTACGCAAGTAACCAAGCGGAATGTTTGAATTCACTTTTTTACAGGGGCCCGCGGCTCTTCAGGCTGCGAGCCCCGAGTCCTATGATGCTGTGAGAGCCGCGTAGACTAGCAGCATTCACATCATCGAAACCAGTCACACTCGTGCACTATAACCCTGACCTGCGCAGATACTTGGTTTCCGTTAAGACAGCCCGCCATGACAGATATATTTGGACTAGAGGACGTTATTTGACTTATAATATAATAATTATGAAAAGAATATTTGGTAATTTTCTGTATAGAATTAGGGTGACAAACGAGCACACAGTCCACCTGATGGTAAGTGGATGCTGTGGCCCATAGACATCTACATTTAACCTCGATTAAGAATCAAAATGCAGATGCGTTGTCACCTGTGTGGACTAAGATGGAATACCTCGATTGCAGTAAAACGGGTCTCCGGTTCTCTACACTCATCATACGAAACAGCAGCAACAAGCTGCTATTTTACGCTGATATTCTGTGAGAGCGTGCTCCTTCCCCGGCCGAATCGAAACTTTCGTGCTACAACCCTAATATAGCTGCAGCGTGGCTCAACCGCATATAAAAAATAAATTATTATTCCAAATATTGTCTAAGTCTTACCTGACAGTAGCAACGGGCTCCTTTATGGCCAACATGTTTAAAGCTATATATAGAGCGTAGCATTCACTGTCTGGAAGTCCATAGCCTGCCTTAAGAGATAAAAGGTATACAATTTTTTATAGAATAAAGGTAACAAACGAGCACACAGTTCACCAGATAAGAAGTGGATGCTACTTCCCATAGACATCTGCATCTACTCTCGAATGTAGATGTGTTGTCACCCCTGAGGGCTAAAATAATATGCCTCGTTAGCTCTAAAAGGAGTCTTCGATTCTCGTAACTCACCATACGCTGGTATGCTGTGAGAGCATGGTTCTTCCAAAGTCGAGCCGACCCATTCGAGCAGCAATAGTGCAGTCTGTCTCTACCTCGTAATTGAACGATACCCTCTCCCGTAGAGGGCTAAAATATTATATTAAATCGAATATGGGACTGCGGGACAAATCTCACAACTTGAACAGTACTTACCGTCGTAAATCTGGGTATTTCTTATAGTTTAAGGGCTACAAACGAACTCACAATCCACCTGATGGTGTGAATGTGATACATAGACATCTATCATCATCATCATCATCATTACAGCCCTTCACAAGTCCACCGCTGAACATAGGCCTCCCCCAAGTAATGCCACAAAGCACGGTCCTGAGCCACCTGCATCCATCGACTTCCTGCATATCTTACCAGGTCATCACTCCATCTAGTGGGGGTCGCCCTACACTACGCCTACCGGTACGAGGCTGCCACTCGAGAACCTTTCTTCCCCATCGGTTATCGGTTCTTCGAGCTATATGGCCGGCCCATTGCCACTTCAGCTTACTAATCCGTTGGGCTATGTCGGTCACTCTGGTTTTACTGCGGATATCCTCATTTCTGAGTCTATCACGCAGAGAAACTCCGAGCATAGCCCTCGGGAAATATATACGACGAGAAGATATGTCGTAATTTCCCGAACGCTGCCCAGCCGAGTTGAATCCGTCGATTGACCTCTCGGTCAAAGTTGGACTTACCTAGTCGGATTATTTGTCCCAGGTAAACGTACTCGTCGACAACTTCGAGCATAGTGCTCCCAACAACTACCGGCATAGGTGTGACATGGACATTAAACAAAATCTTTGTTTTGTCCATGTTCATCTTAAGACCTATCCGTTGGGAGGCACTATCGACGTCATTGAGCATAGTGCTTAAGTCCTCCAGCGATTCTCCCATATGGACTACATCGTCGGCAAATCGAAGGTGAGTGATGTACTCGCCATTGATGTTAATACCGTATCCTTTCCAGTCCAGTAGCTTAAAAACGTCTTCCAATACAGCGGTGAAGAGTTTCGGGGATATAACGTCACCCTGTCTTACACCTCTCTGCAGTTGGATAGGTTTCGAGCTCTGGTTCTGTACTCGGATAGCCATCGTAGCCCTATTGTATAACCACTTCAGCACTTCGATATACCGACAGTCAACTAGGCACCGCTGAAGGGACTGTAGCACCGCCCAAATTTCGACGGAATCAAAGGCTGTCTCATAGTTCATATACGCCATGCAAAGTGGCAGACTGTACTCTTCAGTCTCCTGTACAATCTGACGCAAGGTATGTATGTGGTCTATGGTACTGAAGCCTTTTCGGAAACCGGCTTGTTTGGGAGGCTGGAAGTCGTCGAGTCTGCGTGCGAGACGATTCGTAATGACTATCGAAAACAGCACGTAGACGCGGCTCAGAAGGGAAATCGGTCTGTAGTTCTTCAAGAGAGCGTTGTCGCCTTTCTTAAAGAACAAGACCGCCGCACTTCTGCTCCACGCCTCTGGAGTAGTGCCACCATGGAGGACGGAATTGAAGAGCTTCTGAAGGACTTCAAGTACCTTTGTTCCACCCGCTTTCAGAAGCTCCGCTGTAATTCCATCCTCGCCTGGGGCCCTGCCGTTTTTAAGGTGCTGGAGAGCCATTCTAATCTCGCTCAGACGGACGTCCGGGATATCATCGGAATAGTGTCGGATAAGACTTGCTCTTGGATCGTTACTCACACTTGCGTGTGGCTCCAACGATGATGTGTACAGCTGCCCATAGAACCTCTCAATCTCACTCAAAATCTCAGGTGTCCCGGAAACGATGCTGCCACACTCAGTCTTCAGATTTGACAGTTGGCTCTTACTGGCAGACAGATCTCTGGCAAAGACTTTGGAGCCCTGGTTCCGCTCGATCGCTTCTTTAATACGAGGAGTATTAAAGTTGCGTAAGTCTCGCCGCATGCATTTGGAGATCTGTCTGTTCAGTTGCCTGTATGCTGTCAAATCTGATGACGATTGCAGCCTCATCTCCCGTCTAACAGCCATGAGATTAAGAGTGTGATCGGAGAGTTTTTGTGTTTTTCTGCGGAGGGTCTTGCAGAACTTAGCTCCGACCGCATGGACAGTTTCCACGAGCTTGTCATTCATATCGTCCACTGCATTGCAATCTTGTAGGCACTGAAAGCGGTCACGCAACTCGAGCTGAAAGTTTTCGGGATTCTGGATTAGAGCACGAGGGGGACGGAGTGTTGACTTCATTAGACGAGACCTCTCCAACTTAACGTTTAGGTTCAGTGTGCCTCTAACCATTCGGTGATCGCTGCCAGTTTTCACCCTTGCGATCACTGAGACATCACTGAACAGTTGGCGTCTGGTCGTCATAATGAAGTCAATCTCATTTTTTGTCGAACCGTCGGGGCTCGACCAGGTCCACTTCCTGTGGGGCCGCTTCTGGAAGAAAGAGTTCATCATAAAGAGTCCTTCTTTCTCCATAAAGTCGGCCAGCTGCTGGCTCCTTCGGTTCCGTTGCCCTACTCCCTATTTCCCTAACTTCAGCTCACCGTTTTCTCTTGTGCCTAGTTTTGCGTTGAAGTCTCCCATCAACACCGTGTAGTGGGTTTTGGAGGAAAGCATGGCTTTGGAAATATCTTCATACATTTCCTCCACCTCCTCATCGGGATGTGCCGAGTTGGCTGTATGACCTTCAGCGAATACCGTTTGGTGATTCTGAGTATGTAGGCCAAAAATGTGACGAATGTACGATAAATCCGACACCTCCTTGGGACAGATGACCGCCCTCCCGATGATAGAATAAGTTGCCAGATTCGAGAATCACCGTGTCCTCCCCCTCTCTTCGGACCTCGGATAATCCTATAATATTCCAGCGTAACTTGTCTATCTCTTCTTCCAGCTCCAGGATCTTCTCGTCAGTCCTCAGGGTGCGTGCGTTAAATGTTGCTAGGTCGAGTCGTCGTAGGTGGCAACCGAACCTCCACCGGAGATTCTTAGCACCCCCTGCCCCCCCGTTACCAGTCGTCACCGTAGCCAGGAATAGCAGGGCCGCCGGGGACTGGGGGCAGTCTATTTGTGTAATTGTTCATGGGGGTATATTGCCATAGTTGCCACGCTCGGCGAGCGGGTTGGCAACCGCAGTTTTTTTTTGTCGTACAGTTGCTGTTATCAGGAAGATGCTGCTGCCCATCTCCTGCCTGTCTCCCTCTGTCGCCTCTTACGACACCCACGGGAAGATATGGGGTAGTGAATATTCTTAACCGCCACTACACGGCATAGTTTTAATAATAGTTAACATAAATAGTTTTATCATAATGAAAAAGTTAAGAAATAATTTGTACCTCTTTTTAAAGAGCATATTCTATTCTTTACTATAGTCATACATATTTTGGCGGTAAAGTTGGAGATTTTAATATATCTAAACTTCTAGCAAAAATCGATTAAAGATAAGAAATGTTCATATTTTGTGGCAGATTGCGCAAAAACTATATATGATATGATATCGCTTTCGTATGTATAAAAGGTTGATAGAAAATTCATCATGGATCATTTCGTACTTCCACACTTTTCACGTACCGTGTACACGGTACGGTAGTTTTAAAGATAACTAAATGTACAGTTAGTTATCTTTAAAACTAGGGGCAGTTTCTGGGGTATTCATCGGGGAGGGGGCGAGAGAGTGGATAAAATTTAACTTTGCTGTATAACATACATATGCGGATAGAATAAAAGTACTACATTAATTTTGCCAATTTTTTACCAAAATGATTGAACTAAATGAGCGAGGTGTCATGTCATGTCGCGCGGTGCAGACACGTGATATACGCGGGTGAAACCGTGGGGCACAGCTACATAAAATATTTTTAAAACAAAAACAATTTTTATAATTTTTGTGTCTCCGAAATAGCTGAACCAATTTTGTCAAGACTTTCACTGGCAGATAGCTGATGTTATAAGGAGTAACTTAGTCTAATTTTTATTTTAGAAAAAGAATTGGGTCATTCGCAAAAAATTCAAAGACATGGAATTCAATCGTAATAAATTACACGCGAACGAAGTCGCGGGGAACAGCTAGTTATAACATAAAGTTGTTACCGAGCTATATTCTTTAATTTAATTAAATTTTAGAGTAATTTTTAACAACAGAAACGGAATAACTTCTTTTATTATTATATTTATATACTTAGTTACCAAAAAATGTATGTACCTACTTATGCAATTACGTAAATCCCTTTCTAGGTTCCAAAAGTAGAATAGGAATTATGTACACAAGTACCTGACGGAAGTAGTAATTATGATCTATAAGATCAGTTATCCTCGGCTTGTCGGACTCTTCCTCAAGATCCAACTCTTGCTCTTCTTCGCCCTGCTCCTGCATCTTCTGCGACTTGCTAGCCACCAGCTGTATGAATTCGTGACGTTATGTAAAATAAAAATGACCATGCGTGAGTTGAGACACGAGACAGTATAAAATTTACTGCCTCGGTGGTCTTGTAGTCGAAAACGCGATTGTTATTTATTGTTTTTTTTTTCTATCAATAAATTCTCAGTAACAGTTCGCAGTCAGAAACTTATCGGTTTACCTCCATGCCTCGGAAAGCACGTAAAGCCGTTGGTCTTGCGTTTGATCTCTCTCCAGTCTTGTCGAATTACCGTCCCATCGGACTGTGAGCGTGAGAGAATAGAGAGTGTACCTGTGTATGCGCATACACCCGAGCACTATAATCCTGTCCTTCGTCATCAGTCTATGAAAGTCCACTGCTAGACATGGTGTCAGGGGGAGGCAGATTGACGATCGTAGTATCAGACGTCTTGCAGGTATTATACGCCTGGCTCATTCATAAAGAGATGATTATATCTCCCTCTATATATTATACATATTTATAGGCGGTAGAGTCACGCTGCAGATATATTATGGTTGTAACACGAATGGGTCGGCTCGACCGGGGAAGAACCACGCTCCCACAGAATACCAGCGCAAAATATCTGCTCAATACCGCTGTGTTTCGTATGGTGAGTGTAGAGATCTGGAGATCATTTTTTTACTGGACACGGGGCATTCCATCTTAGTCCTCAGGGGTGACAACGCATCTGCGTTTTGATTTTAATCAAGGATAGATGTAGATGTCTATGGACAACAGCAACCACTTACCATCAGGTGGACTGTGTGCTCGTTTTACACCTTTTTCTAAATAAAATCTAATGGAAACCTTAAGATCGTTCTGGTAAACCCCATAGATAGAGTGGTGGATATCTTAACAACACGGAAAAGACCCTGACACTGTCTACGAAAGTATTAAGTAAAAAGTAAAGTAAAGTTACAGACTATATACGTCCCACTGCTGGACACAGGCCTCCGCTCACTTCTGAGAGGGTTTTAGGGCAAGGAATTGTTCGCCGCGCTGCCCCAATTCGTGTTGGTGAACTTCGCATATTTTTTTTCTTATTTCTCTGACAGGCAGGTTTCCTCACGATGTTTTCCTTCACCGCCTAACACGTGGTAAATCAGCACTTAAAATTACAATTAACAATTTCATTGGTGCCGGCGGGGATCGAACCCGGTTTGCTCGCGTACTGTGAAATTTACAGCGAGCGCTAACCATCTGAGCTACCACGGGCCAAGTATTAAGTAGAAGCTTTTTTACCAAAGTTTTATTAAGTCGCTCTGGTGTTCAACTTCCCGACGAGCTAGAGGCTTAAAAATTTTGAACGTAGCTCAGAATCGTATGACAAAAGAACTTGGTATATTAAAAAAATTAAGCCATTTTTTAATTATAAAAGCTACAGAACATAATTTGTCTCTATCTTTTTAAAAAAAAAATAAGGGTGACAAACGGGCACACAGTCCACTTGATGGTTAGTGGACGATGTAGCCCATAGACATCTACATTTTATCCTCGATAAAGAATCAAAACGCAGATGCGTTGTCACCCCTGAGGACTAAGATGGAATGCCTCGTTTCCAATAAAAAAGGGTCTCCGGATCTCTACACTCACCATACGAAACACAGCAACATTAATCTGCTATTTTACGCTGGAATTCTGTGAGAGCGTGGTACTTCCCCGGTTGAGCCAACCCATTCGTGCTACAACCATAACATAGCTGCATCGTGGCCGTACCACGTCTGTTTATATTGTAGTGTATATTTTGTTTATATTGGTTAATATTTTGTTTATATTATTGGCGTAATAGTAAAGAGTATTTGTATTGTGTTATATATTTCCAGGACTTGCAGATAAAGTAAGCCACACGCCACACCACACGCATTGGGGCTGCACGGTCCGGACTCTTTCCTGCTCCAACACCATCTTATAAGTAACAAGAGTTCCGTGCGCCATGGCATTTATAAAATTATAATTTTTTGTTATTTTTTATAAGTAAGTGTGACAAACAACGAACACATAGAGCATAGACATCCACATTTCTCGATTAGGATTCAAAATGCAAATGCGCTGAGGCCTAAATAGAATGCCTCCATTACCAGTACTCAACCACCTATAAAAACTTTATCTTTACACAAATTCCACTAACTTTGAACATCTCATCCATTTTCCTCGCAATAGCGAGCTGCGGCGGCGACAAGTATACATCATTCAACAAATCAAAGTTAGGCCTGAGCTTCTCTTGTTTCACCTCCCACGAGTACTGCTCAAAGTTGTCGACTACATCGGGCGGCTTGTGTGTAAGGATTTTGTGCACTAGATCTACCAGGTGATCATATCTGGTGGAATAATGGGTATTATATTAACACTTTCTCTGTCCGATTTTCAGACACAGTAGTAGAGCAATAGCAATTAACTATACATATGCAGCACACGGGAAAGCGAATGGGTCAATTTTAATTAAAAATAAAGCAGCAGCCTATATACTTCCCACTCCTGGGCACAGGCCTCCGCTAATTTCTGAGATCATATGATTTCATAAAACTTCACATGTCTTCGAAATATTTTTTTTCTTTTTTCTCAGACGTGCAGGTTTTCTTACAATGTTTACCTTCACCGTCGATCACGTGGTAAATCTCGGCGCACATGATAAATCAGCGCTTAAAATTGCAATTAACAATTTCATTGGTGCCGCTGGGATCGAACCCGGTTTACTCGCGTACTATGAAATTAACAGCGATCGATAAGCATCTGAGCTACCACAGCTATTTTTAATTTAATAATTTTTCTAATTTTAATTAATTCCTTCATTTATTACAACCTATCAAAAGTCCATATATGAACATAGGGCACTTCACCATTTTTTTAACTTATTATGAGTGTTTGGCTACAATCCTACCTGGTGCCAATAAATTGCTCTATCTTAGAGTAACAAAAATCTATTCACTCTTGCCTTTCAGACGCCCAGATTATATTCGGACGTAAAGACAGACGTCGTCAAGTTATTCAACTCCTTTTCTGCACGCATTACAATCGACGAAGCAAACCCATTTGTTCTAATGTGTGGATAAGATTGATTATATGTTTATTATTATTAAAATATTTGCCATATATTACAGGCAGGAAGAAAACCGATTTTTCTAATGTTTGAGCTCTTAACAGAAAGAAGCTGATACCCATTTTCTGTTTCAGTTTTCTTCTGTCGTCTCTCACGGCACCTTCGAGTAGGCTTGGGTAAAAAAATATTTATATATCTGAATATCGATATTTTCTCTTTGTAATGTCTATATACAGAAACTCATTTTGGAGTATTGAATTCCTATTAATATCGATATATTTTAAAATGTTATTTTAATTGACAAAACATTAAGCAACAAAAGTAGAGAGCTACAAAATTATTCATGTGCTGTTGTCGTTTTTTTCATCGCCCAACCGTCCAGTATAAATACTATTTTGGGCCTTGTTCTACCACATCACGCATATATGACGATATGTCGATATTTATCACGTGATATATAATGATACTATTAAAAATATCGATACGATATATTATATCGATATTTTTTTCACTTGCTCATCCATACCCTCGAGATACCATAGGATAGTGGATCTGGATTCTGTGACGCCACCACTACACGGCATACCTTATTATCTTATTAACATATCTGTTGAGTAAATTGCAAAATTATCTTTAGAGATAGTCCCGTAATCTACTTCCTTTAAAAATGAGTGCAATCATCGTCAAGTAATCGTCGTATCGTACAAAAGCAAAAAGTATAAGTGCTAATAGGTTAAAGGGAGTGTCCGACCAAAGGTTGGACTTCGGTCACCATCGCCCCAATTAAGCTCCTTTGGAGAAACCTTCGGCTTCAGCTAAGCGCCAAAATTAAACGAACTGTCACAAATGAACGCTATATCTCTAGATCAACTTATATTCTAGAGACATTTAAAATTACTTTTTATATTATACAGTCAATTAAAAAACCTTTAATTTTAAAGTTTTGAAATCATTTAATTGAAATGAATTTCTTATGATTTTAAGCCTCTGGCTTCAGCCATAAATTAGCTTCGGATTCAGCCAGAAATCGACCTTCGATCGGACACTAGTTGAAGATTTGATTAGTGTCTCAGTTCATAAAGAAAATAATAAAAAACAATTATATTTAACTTGCGTTTTAACTTAGCAAAATCCTTAAACATCAACAATATTAATAATACAAACTACGGTGTGGTGGTGGTGTAAATGGATATATCACCTTATGGCGACTATAAAGGATATCAGGATAGCATGAGAAATACTACAATAGTCCGGCTTCCGATAGCTAGAGTTGTAGTCATTTCTTTAGGCTACGCTTAATACTCATACTTGTGGTGATGGGGAGCAACGTAATTAATACGATACAATTATTAAACACAATTGTTAATTGCTCGAAGGAACGACAACCGATGGGGAAGAAAGGTTCCCGTGTGGCAACCACGTACCGGTAAGCGAAGTGTAGCTGCCCCCTGCTAGACGGAGTGACGAGCTGGTAAGACATACAGCATGGAGTATAGAGGTAAGGAGGACTCCCATAGGAGAATAGTTGAAAATGTATCCTTCTGTAAGCAGTAAATAACAGTTCAAAACCTCTCCACAACAGCGCTCGAGTAGCTACAGGGTTTGATAAATCGCCGTAAAATACGTTGAGAGTGATTTTGAAAATAAAAATTTCGGAAGCAATAAAATAATTATTGTAAAAAGAATTATGGTGAAAGCCCATTATACAATAATTTTTTTAAAGTGCTTTAAAATTTAGACTGTAGCTACAGTGGCGCCACCTATTTAACGCTTTCCTACGGACACTTTTTTATACAGAGTCTGTACTCCTTACCTCTACACTCCATAACATGCAGGAAGTCGATGGCTACAGGTTGCTCAGGGCTGTGTTTTGTGGCATTCGTTGGGGGAGATTCGAGAGGGGGGGGTGTAGACTGGTGAATGGCGGTCATGAATGAATGAAGGAAAATTGTTTAAATTACTTTCGTAAAGCACAATGGCGTGATGTATAAGTATAAAACAAAATTTTAGATGTAAACCATTTGTTGATGAAGTGTGTCCATAACGAAAAAGATAGACAGGATGCGCTGAAAGAATTTAACGCAAAGGTTTTGATGTATATCTAGCTAGTGCAAAGGATTTTGTCAATTCCAAAATCAAGAACGTCAAGAGAGTTATTCCAGTTTGCTACTAGGACAGAATAATTATCTTCACATCTCCAGAATAAATGAGAGTTTCTATGTATTTAGTTTAGTAATATTCTTAGTACTCATAATAGTACTTTCATATTTTGTTTTATAGTGTTAGGAGTAATTAGTATAAGTTATTATAGGATCGGCATATCGTTTCGATAAAAATTCTTAAATAAAAAAAATTGTGAAAAAAAGGACAATGGCTTATCAATTTTAGAAGAGGCCTTAAGATGTTCGTACCGACAATGTAGAGTGATGACCTTTGGCCGGTTTTAGTGCTCGACCGACCGTCGGTGCGTACGTGGGTCGCGCTTGTCATTTGTATGAAAAAGTCGTGACAGTGCTCGACCGACCGTACGCACGCGTATATTGCTAGCAATTGCTACGCACTGCGTATGATCAGTCAAGCGCGTCCGCATGTGTGCCATCGGTCGACTGACGCGCTATGGAAACATATATAACGCATTCAGTGCTACACCGATCGGTGTACCGACCGTACGGATGCGCGTATCATTGTCAAAAAATCGAACCTAATACATAGTTCAAAAGTTCAGTAATATTGTTTGATTTTATAGGTATTGTTACCTTTTATCGATTTAAGTAATTTTGATCAAACATGGCATATATCGACACGGAACGCCTAATTACCGAAGTTCGTCTTCGTGAACTTCTGTGGGACAAAGGGCCACGTGTTATACTTAGCGCAATAATGAATATAAAGTAGTAAATTCTCCTTGAAGTGCTCTTTGGGCGGCGATTGGGTATACGTAATATCTACGTCTTTTGTTCCTTATACGTTTACGAACATAGTAAGCAGCAATTAAACAATTATTTGTAAACGCATCCATTTTGTATCCGTGTTTGTGACTGTACCAGTCCGGCCAGTTTGGTTGGTCAGGAGAGCACTGAACTTTACAAACTGACGATTGGCTATGCGTTTCGTCAGGGACGATGGGACGCATCGACGGTCGGTCGAGCACCAGAACCGGCCTTATAAATAACGTCCTCCAGACCGCATTTGGTCACGGTGCGGCCAGTCTTTACACAGACGAGCCATGTGATTATAGTGCACGAGTGTATGCGTAAGCACATAGTCCGATGGGACGGTATTCCGACACGACTGGACGAAAAGTTTGTGTTTTTCAAGGTGCGGGCTTGAAAGTGTTTAACTACTAATTGACTTCGTGCGGCTACTGAGATTTTCTTGACTGAAAAATCCAATAACTGATTTTGTCTAAGCACGAAACGTACGTGGAACCACAGGTACAGCACCACTAGACCAACGAGGTAGTTATGATGACCTCCTTTATATTCAGCTATTGGACCGTAATTGTGATGTTAACGTTGATGACGATGATGCAACATCGTCATAGTTAAAGTGACACGTTTTACTCTTAGTAGAGGTGGTTATAAAGAAAAGCATCGCGAACTATGGTTTCCGTTCCGATCTTTAACCGACTTTACGGTATAATTAGACGATAGAGTATTTGAGTTTTGAGCAGAAGTACAATTACAGCACTCTATTTTGTTTGACGGCCTCGTGCCTTCTTACTAGGACTAGTATTAATACCAGTACAAAAAAGTCCGACTAGGAAAGAGCCGTGGTAGCTCAGATGGTTAACGCTCGGTGTAAATATAACAGAACGCGAGTAACTCGGGGGAACCCCGCCGGCACCAATGAAATCGTTAATTGCAATTTTAAGTGCTGATTTACCACGTGCTCGGCGGTGAAGGAAAACATCCTGAGGAAACCTGCATGTCTGAGGAATAAGAAAAAAAGTATTTTGAAGACATGTGAAGTTCGCCAACACGCATTGGGGCAGCGCGGCGTACACTTCCTTGCCCTAAAACCCTCTCAGAAATGAGGGGAGGCCTGTGCCCAGCAGTAGGACGTATATAGGCTGTAACTTTACTTTACTTTTAACTTTACGTAAGTCCAACTACGACCATGAGGTCAATCGACGGATTCAACTCGGCTGGGCAGCGTTCGGGAGATTACGACACATCTCGTCAGGCTTACCTCAAAACCTACAAAACAAGATTGTAGAATCAGTGCGTATCGCCAGTGATGACCTATGGATCTGAGACATAATCCTTCACTGCTGGCCATATAAGGGTACTCAAGGTAGCTCAGCGAGCTATGGAGAGGAGCTGTGTTCGGAGATTCCCGCAGAAAGGCGATGGATACAGGTGGCTCAGAACTGTGCTTTGTAGCATTCTTTGGAGGAGGCCTACGTTCAGCAGTGGTCTTCTGAAGCACTGTAATGATAATGAAATCCGAAAAAAATTGTTTCATTTAGTGTCCTCCTCTTCTATATGTATCCTACAATTAACAGTCCAATCATTACGGCTACCACGGTTACCCATATTACACTCATGGAGATTTGGAAGCTTAAATCGTGGTCGATATCAACTTGGCATATAACATTGGCTTCCTATTCATAAAATATAAATAAGCGTCTTCCTTTCGAAACATAATAATTGGCTTAAAGAAAAGGTACTTTTGTATTAAATTTGCTGACTTACAAGTTATCACCCGTAGCCGCGCTCTGCTGTTTCAAAAAGTTTTTTGCAAGTACTAAATCGTTATTCAAGTCGGGCATAACATTTTCAGTCGCTGCTATAATATCTGGTTCCAATAAAAATGACTGTGACATTTTTCTTGGGATATTTATTTAGGTATGTAAGTGCTTATGTATTTAGACCTAGATCAACAATAGAAAAATTTATGTCATATGTCATCATCCAAAGAGTTTTTAATCACTATGTTTTATTAACAGCAATACCAACAAAATAACAAGCATTTATAAAACGCTATTTATAATACAATAATAATAGGCCGAAACTACTTGTTGCTTGTAGGACTAATACTTTATGCCAGCTACACAGACCGGTATACACAGAACTAATAATATATTTATAGCCTTATATAAATTAAACACCGTATGATATTTTTTATAAGAAAAGAATATTAGTAAGGGTGTTTACATTACTAACACTCCCGTTAGGATTAGTTCACCCCAGTAGTCGTGTAACGTATTTGAAAGGCTTTAAATTTTTTTAATGATCTAGACGTGTAATGTATAAAGTTTTGTGATACAATAAAATATTATATTTTAAAGGGAGAGTTATTAAAAACATGGCAAATTAATGTTTATAAAATGAAATGCGTTCAAAAAAATGTTATTGATTACTGCGCTGTTTTTAAAAAAGGTAAGATTCATAAAAATCAGTGATTTTATACTTTATGGCAATAAGCCTTACATCCAATGCAACGCTAAATAAAAAAAAACATAAAATGTCAAATGTCAATTGTATTTATTGTTTTCGTTTTTTTCCAGGTTATTAATATGTTTTTTTAACTATTTTCATTCAATAACGAACGATTAAAGTCGCAGTATTTATTAAGAAACTTACAAAAATATGCTTAAATATTATAGAAACATTTTTACTTAATTTAATTTTAATATTGGAAACTAAGTTATCCTATAAACACACAAGAAAAAAAATCATAAAAACCGCAATGGCAGTGAGATTTGATGCTGCCGCTTACAGTTTTCGTAAGAAATGCCCTTACGTGAGTAAAGACTTACTTCGTTGGTTCCCAGGCCATATGAACAAGGGTTTAAAGCAAATGCAACGTAAACTGACATCAGTTGACTGTGTGATTGAAGTTCACGATGCCCGAATACCATTTACGGGTCGAAATCCCATATTTACAAATACATTAACTGGTGCCAAGCCACATATACTTGTCCTGAATAAAAAAGATCTGACAGTAAGGTCACTAATACCAAAGATTACAGAGCAGTTGAAAGCTCATGAAAACATACAAAATGTTATATTTACGAACAGTAAAGATCAAGATTGTCGTGGCCTTAAGGCTCTAAAACCTTTAATGGTAGAATTGATTAAAAATTCTAACAGATATAATAGAAGTGAAGAGTTAGATTACAATGTAATGATTATTGGTGTACCAAATGTAGGTAAATCTTCTTTAATCAATATGTTGCGATCAAGAAATATGAGTGTTAGGCATGCTTTGCCGGTTGGTGCTGTTGCAGGTGTAACACGAAGTCTCATGACAAAAATGAGAATCAATGATGATCCAAAGATTTTCATGTTTGATACTCCAGGTTTGTATTGGTCTTAATGACATCTGCTTAATAAGTTGCAATAAGTAAAATTGAGATGCCTATGACACCTACATATAGTGCATCAAAAACCATCCTAGAATGAGTAAATATAATAAAAGCTATCTCTCTGTATCTGTGTGTTTGTTTATATAACAAGCTACCAAATAATCCTAAAATCTTGAATACTATATTATAAAAATCAATATTACAGAAATACTTGGATAAAAGTAATTTCTACAGTATTAAGGACTTTATTAATCATAAGTTATAATGTAGAAAAACAAAAACTTGCATTCTAAGTATAACTGATAACTCTAGCAAAACATGTTGTTCGATTGTATATTTGTGACATCTCTGTCGTACCATCTTGTATGCAAATATATATTACAGTATTATTATTGTTATAAATAAATCAGGCTTTCGTGATAGACTGATGGTATAAAATAGATCAAAAAAATTTCATAGAATGAAATTAATGTATGAGGAATTCTAAGCATTTCCATGTTGAGGGTATTGGCTTAGACCAACGAAACTACCCAACATAAAAGTATTAAAGGAAAGGTACAGCCTATATACGTCCAACTACTGGGCATGGCTGTTCTCATTTCTGTAAATGTAATGAGACCATTTTTTTTTGTACTGCTCTAGTATGTGTCGACGGACACTCATATGAGCTCAAATTATTTATTCCTCGGACATGCAGTTTTACTCACAATGTTTTCCTTCACCACTGCACACATGGTAAATCTGCATTTAAAATTGCATTTAACAATTTCATTCGTACCAGTGGGGATTGAACTCTAGTTGCTCATGAACTAAGCTACCAGTTCTTATCCAAAATGTTATGAGTAAATTTCTTAAAGAAATTATTACCATCTGACAGACCAAAGTCCAGAGATATGTTTAAAAGCTTTGTGATCAAGTGAGTCAAGTCAAACACATACTTTATATAAACTCATTTTTCAAAAATCAGTGATCACAGCCATACGAGGGTGGATTGAAAAGTACTCGGCCTAACACAGATCCATTCAATTCTAAAAATCAAATATACCCACATTATTTAGTTCAGTTCAGACTAGTTCATTGTGTGAAGTTCGAAACGTGTGCGATAATTAGTTGTGATTTTATAAATTTATTAACAAAGTAATCGGACATAATTTCCGCGAATGGAGCAAATCGAGCAGCGTGCTGTCATTAAGTACCTCCATAAGAAGGGGCTATCATCAAAAGCCATCCATGATGACATGGTCAGTACATTAGGCGATTGTGCTCTGTCATATTCATCCATCAAAAAATGGATAGCAGAATTTAAGCGTGGTAGAGAGAGTGTGAAAGATGAACCCCGCTCTGGAAGGCCTTCGACTTCAACTACTGACAAAATTATTAAAAAAGTACTTGATTTAATAATGGGAGACCGCAGATTAAAAATTAGAGAGATAGCCGAGATTATAGGCATCTCTTATGAACGAACTCAAAACATCATTGTCAACGAGTTGGGTTTCCACAAGGTGTCTGCGAGGTGGGTTCCGCGACTGCTTTCAGTTGAACAAAAAAGGACGCGATTGACTATTTCACGCGACTGTTTGGAGTTATTTGAAGCCGATGCAGATGATTTTTTGAATCGTTTTGTTACTATGGACGAAACATGGGTTCATTACTGTACACCGGAAACAAAACAACAATCAAAACAGTGGAGAAGACCTGGTTCACCACCTCCTAAAAAAGGCTAAGTCGATTTTGACAGCAAATAAGGTGATGGCTTCAGTATTCTGGGACTCGAAAGGTATGATTATGATTGATTATCTTGAAAGGGGTCAGACTATAAACTCTGATTACTACTGCACCTTACTACGTTGTTTACGAGAGGAAATAAAAGAAAAACGTCGAGGACTGCTCAGAAGAAAAGTCCTGTTTCATCAAGATAACGCCCATGTTCACAAGTCACTACAGTCAATGGCTGAAATTCACAACTGTGGCTTTGAACTGTTACCGCATCCGCCGTATTCACCTGATCTGGCACCATCAGACTTCTTTCTGTTCCCTAACCTAAAAAAGCACTTGGGAGGTCAAAGATTTTCGACAAACGACGAGGTCAAAGCAGCTGTAGACGCATATTTTGACTCTAAGGAAGAATCATTTTTTTTTCAACGGTCTAAATGCTTGGAAGGGGAGGTGGCAAAAGTGTATTGAACTTGATGGTGATTATGTAGAAAAATAAAAATATAACTGATTTAGTATGTGTTTATTTTCTTGGTTAGGCCAAGTACTTTTCAATCCACCCTCGTATAATATACAATGTATTTAATTTATCTATTTAAACATCTAAGCTCACAATCACATTATGCTAAAGTATCTTAGTTCTATGATTCAACATTTCACACCTATAAGATAATGGGCTACACAAATTAATAGACAAGGTTAATAAACATTTAGTTATTCATTCACAGTAATTATAGATGGCTGGTTTATAGATGGAACTTTCATAGTGTTTTAGATGGTTAAAAGTTCTTTGTATTTAGATACTTACTTTATATACCATGTTTTTTATATACTTGTGTAACCATAGATATTTGAGTGGTAGGTATGGTAAAATAAAATGGCTAACTAGGTTCATCTTGTCCTTCTGTTCACTAGTACAAGAGTTTAGCCTTTATTGAGTTTAGGACAAGTGAAGATGTTTGATACAGTATGTCTTATTTAGTTTTGCTATCTGTATTCTTTATTATTAATTTGATTAATTTTGTAATTTTTCAGGTATCTTAGAGCCATCTGTAACAGATATAGAAATGGGTCTAAAGCTAGCACTTTGCGCATCCCTTCAAGATCATTTGGTGGGTGAGGAGGCTATTGCAGATTACCTATTGTATTGGCTAAACAGTCATGCCAAGTTTAAATATGTCGAGTACATGGGTCTAGAGGAACCTTCTGATGATATACATAAGGTGATTAATAAACTTCATGTTGATAAAAGCATTACTGCAATGCAACACAGCTCTAGCAAGCTGTGTTGCTCAGTAACTTATCCTCACAATATATTAAATTCGATTCCTTTATTCTTCTAATCCCATTTGTGCTCTTGGCTACAAAACAAAATTATTAGGATTGCAGTATTGTTCCAATTCTGGTCCAATATAATATGTCAGTGAATCATTTTGATTTCACTGACAACTTATATTTCTTTCACTGGTGGGGCCTAGATAGCTATAGGCAATCAAGAACCTACTCTAAGTTGCTTCATGCCTGGTTCGGTTTTACGCATCCTATTGCTGCCTGGATGATGTTGTCACAAGAGTATATACATCATTCGTAAGGGTCCATGGATTTCGATAGATATAGCAATCTTATATATGCCAGACGTAATATAACCAGCGATGAATGGCAGCACCAAAGTTGCAAATGGGATGTCACCCCTGAGATTATGATGAAAAGCATCATTGCCAGTAAAAACAAATCTGTTTCTCTACATTCACCATACAAATCACAGCAACTTTATTCTGCTTTTTCATGCTGGTATTGTGTGA